CAAGCCGCCTCATGAGCCCTTCTGTGCAAAATGTGTCGGTACTACCAGGGTCCAGGAATGCATAGGTCAGTATGCTTTTATTTCCATGGCAGAGTTTCACCTTCACTGGCACTATGGCAAGTATGCCGTCTTTACCAGCCCCGATTCCTTCACCTTCTCCTACTGAAACAAGAGCACTGCTGATGGATGTCTCATCAGGCCTTGCTCCCCCACTCTGCTGCTCTGCCTTCCCATGTTTAAAGTTCTCAGTTTCAGGCTTTGAAGATCTTTTAATGTGCAGAATAGTTGGGTGCTTAGCATGACAGATTTGACAGGTCATTCTCCTGTTACAGTTCCTGCTCAAGTGCCCCACCTTCAGGCAGCCAAAGCATAGTCCCTTCTCTTTCAGAAACTCCATTTTAGCTTCATGAGATACTGAATGTATTTTATGGCATTCAGCTAAAGGATGTTTACTTGTACAAAAAGTACATGAGGTGTCATTGTTAGTGGAGGAAATGTAGCTTTTAACAGGATATTTGTCTTCTTTGAGTTTCTCTGCACGCCTGTCTGACACTATAGCCACTGTGGTTGCAAAACTGCTCCCTTTGCTCTTATTTCGATATGGATCAACAAGAGTCTTGGTCTTGAAAGCTGCCTTTGTACTGTTAAGTTGATCGGGAATGTCACCAAAGAGAGGGTCTTGAAGTATTCTAGCTTGTCTTTCAATAAATACAACAAGGTCAGGTAATCTTGCTCTTTCATGGCTCCGCTCCAGAATATCACAAGCTGCTGTTCTCCACTTCTCCCTTAGTTTGTAAGGTAGCTTTGAAAGAATGAGCCGTAGGTTGGATGGCAGGTCCAGCTCCTCCATGTTCTGCAGATCCCTCATTGCATTACAGCAGCCTCTCAGAAAAAGTGCATAACAGTGCAGTGACTTTCCATCCTCTGCCTTTATAGTGTTCCAGTTGAGAGCTTTTCCCATATATGCGCTTGCTATCTTGAGCTCATCTCCAAAATGCACTTTTAGCAGTCTCTTAGCTTCAGCAAAGCCACTATTAGCATCCATGTGAAGGCAGCTTCTCACCAGTTCCCTGCAGGATCCCGAAGTATATTGTTCCAGGTAATATAATCGATCCTGGTTACTGGTGGTTTTCTCCTCAATGCTATGTTGAAATGCCCTCACAAATATTTGATAATTCAGGGGATTGCCATCAAAGACTGGGATTTCCCTAGTGGGCAGTGATGCTTGTTTTTGTTGAAGTACAAGTAAATTAACAATGTCATTTTGTCTTTGCATCACAGTCAGGAAATTGTCATTAGTATTTGTCCCTGTAATTCCTGCATCTCTAGCTGTTTGTTGAGAGCTTTGATTTGCATTATCAATATTTTCTGGTGGTCTTGGTTGTTGGTGTATAAGCCTTTGAAGTGGTGTCTTGGGAATGGATCCGAACTCAGCAAAGGAAATTGGAGACGGCTCTGCATCCATTGACATATGTGTTTTTAATCTGTAGTCCTTTAAATAGTCATTCATGCCATCATATTTTCCTTGTGTTGGATTTTGTGAACCAGTCTCAAAGTGCTCCAGGACTTTCATTTTTGCATCAGATTCAGCTAGGCTGACTTCCATTTCTATCCGTTCGGATCTAGCTTGCAGTTGAGCTTGCAGTTGAGCCTTTTCCATTTCAAGTGCATGCTTTTCCTTTAATCCTGCTGCCCGGGCAAGGAGGGCAGCTCTTTCTGTGGCCATTTTGAGGTGGATTGAAGAAGCAGAAGAAGTTGCTGATCCTGCTTTTGAGCTCCTCCTGGTTGATGCATTGGAAACACTGTCATGGGGTTCAATCAGTATCTGAGGATCCATTTGAGAGCTTTTCCACGTTTCCATATCCTTAAGGAAATTCGTGAATGCAGACATTTTTGGTTCATACCAATCTATTCTCTCAGTTTCCCTTATTTCCTCAGATAAAAGCATTTGAACAATTCCATGACATTCCATAAATTCATTGAGTAACATCTTGAACGTTGCAACAGCTTCATCCACCTTTTCCACATCTCCACCTCGCACCAGAAATGGGTTAATTTCATTCATTCTGCGGGTGCATGCTCCAAGTTTTCCTCTTCGCGATTGGCTGAGAGTTTTATATCTCTCCTCTGCGGCGGCAACATCAGCTGGAGGTATATCAGGATCCATTGTTTATTTGAGTTTTTCTTCACTTAATCCACAGGAAATAAAGTCATTAATATTTCCAAGAACAGCTCTTCGCGAGTCCTGTTTTTGTGCCAAATATTCCTTTAACGTCCGCTTCCTGGCTGCGTGATAGTTCGTTAATGCATTTCATTGTTTAAGCATTCCAACAGCAATAGCGGATTATCTTCAGTAAGCATCAGGATATCACTGGATGGATTTCCCGTTTCGTTTTGTCAAACATCCGTAACTATGCACACATCAGTACTTGCATTGTTTGACGAAGCGATCCCGTTGTAAACAGCGTCTCATTCATAAGTTCCGGGCCGGCGTGGTTTACTCACGTTCTCCTCCTCGGCACTTTAGAACGTCCGTTCGCTGTTTCCAAAGCAGAGCTGAAATCCACACGAATCCTGTGCTTGTCCTTCGAAGTCTTTATCCACAGTTTACGGAGTCTTTTGACTATTGTGGTGGCGTTTTAATCCTTGTCTACCATTTAATAGCCACCTCTATCGGGGTTGTGGGTTTTGACGCGCCTCTCTTTGTTTCCAAACAATTCAGCGGAGATCGTAGTTGAATCAGATGATCTTTATTGATCCACACGGTGCATACAGGAGGACACATTTCTTCGCTTCATAGTAACTCAAAAGTGTATCATTTTCCAAAGTAACAAAAAGAACACGTTCAAAAGACTTTTCCATTTCCCCGTCTATCACCCCCAGCTGTGTCCTATCAACCTACCATATATAGGCATAGCCATGCACGTGATACTGACGCACATATAACAAATAATAAGTGAGCCTTAAGTTAATGCATTTTAAACCATAATGTGACTCACAAAAATAGCCGATAATTTACAGTATAATCTAATTTATATTATTATTAAGCCCAACATTCAGACAATAATAACAAAAGGTAAAATGGCTCTAACACTGAGTCTTCCTCTTCCGTGTCACTGTCCAGCCTTGTTGAGGAGGCTCTGTGTCCGGCTCAGAGAGACTTAGGTTTGCCCGAATGCCAACCAGTTTTCCACTCTCACATTTGTGAGCCTGTTGCGAACCTTTGTGTGGTCTCAATAGCCATGCAGTGAGCAGTGTGCTATGGCATGGATATCCAAGTGTACTTGAATGGCATCTGTTTGTTTCAGTCAAGATTATGCTAAAATATACTTTCCCCAACTCTATTGAAGTTCCCTAAGAGCCAATCTTACATTTTGAAAATTCCCAGTTTATTCCCAGTTTATTCCCATGAGTTTCCATCTTTGAAAATTCCTGGAATTTTGCAACCCTAGTGAGCACACACACACACAAACTCCCAGCCAGGCTGCGGGGGTGTGTGTGTGTTCGGGCTGGTTTCAGGCTGCGTTTCGCTGTGTCTCGCTGTCTCGCAGACGGCCACTGGGCTCATAGGGGGGGGGGGGGCAGGAGCTCCAACAAGCCGTGTAGGACAGAGAGTGAATACACAGACTATACAGAGATGCTGTGAGAAACCAATGTGAGTTTGGAACATTGAACAATGTGAATCTATTCTATAGACCTCAACGATGGAACTATGATCAGGAGAAATGGACATGGGACCTTTAAGAATCTGAGGGCCGATTCAAAATGGACCGTGACGTGCCTATACCCAAATGGGCCGTACTTTGCCCTGCTGCGAGCCCCCCAGTCTTACTCACTGTTCCCGGGTCAGAACCAAACACTCTGACGCTGCTCTCAGTTTATATTCCCTGCACAAATGGAACAGACTTCCAGAAACCAGAGTCTTCACCAACGCTGAGTTCTTTGAAGGCTAAACACTTCACTGTTTTCAGCTGCTTACCCAGAAGCCTTTTCACTGGTTTGAGCACCTTCTGTATTTACAATGTTGTGTTTGAACTATCTCTTTAGTATTTACAATACAACTATCTCTTTAGTATTTACAATACAACTATCTCTTTAGTATTTACAATACAACTATCTCTTTAGTATTTACAATACAACTATCTCTTTAGTATTTACAATACAACTGTCTCTTTAGTATTTACAATACAACTATCTCTTTAGTATTTACAATACAACTATCTCTTTAGTATTTACAATACAACTGTCTCTTTAGTATTTACAATACAACTGTCTCTTTAGTATTTACAATACAACTGTCTCTTTAGTATTTACAATACAACTGTCTCTTTAGTATTTACAATACAACTGTCTCTTTAGTATTTACAATACAACTGTCTCTTTAGTATTTACAATACAACTGTCTCTTTAGTATTTACAATACAACTGTCTCTTTAGTATTTACAATACAACTGTCTCTTTAGTATTTACAATACAAACTGTCTCTTTAGTATTTACAATACAACTGTCTCTTTAGTATTTACAATACAACTGTCTCTTTAGTATTTACAATACAAACTATCTCTTTAGTATTTACAATACAACTATCTCTTTAGTATTTACAATACAACTATCTCTTTAGTATTTACAATACAACTATCTCTTTAGTATTTACAATACAACTATCTCTTTAGTATTTACAATACAACTGTCTCTTTAGTATTTACAATACAACTGTCTCTTTAGTATTTACAATACAACTATCTCTTTAGTATTTACAATACAACTATCTCTTTTATGCATGTTTTTATGAATCTGTGTTAATGATGATGTAAAGCACTTTGCCTCTGTGTCTGAAAGTGTGCTTCATAAATAACCGTACCTTACTCTGTATGAAACATCCGTCAGCCATTAGCTCTGTGGAGTGCAGATTCAAACACAGATGGTTCCTTTGGATCTGATGGTACACAGACCTGCTCAAACAGGAAGTGCCCTTAGGTGTAGCTTCAGATGAGACTCACCTGGTCCATGAGGGCGGGGGAGGGGGTCAGGTGGTGAACCCTCCTGTAGCGCCCCCTCCTGTATTTATCCTGGATGAACTTTGACCTCTCTTCGTCCGGCGACCCCAGAAACAGCTGCTCCGCCGCCGGCACCACAGGAGCCCACACCTGATTGGCCAGCCGGTTACCGTGGGCGACAAACAGCTGGGGGAAGAACAGGTGAAAGGTCAGCACCCCACTCCCTCAAAGATCAAAGGTTTAGATAAGACCATAATATTAATGGTTCACCCCCCCTCACCTGTATTAATGGTTCAGCCCACCCTCACCTGTATTAATGGTTCAACCCCCACTCATGTGTATTAATGGTTCACCCCCCCTCACCTGTATTAATGGTTCAACCCCCACTCATGTGTATTAATGGTTCAGCCCCCCCTCACCTGTATTAATGGTTCCCCCCCCCTCACCTGTATTAATGGTTCCCCCCTCACCTGTATTAATGGTTCATCCCCCCCTCACCTGTATTAATGGTTCCCCCCCTCACCTGTATTAATGGTTCCCCCCCCTCACCTGTATTAATGGTTCCCCCCCTCACCTGTATTAATGGTTCATCCCCCCCTCACCTGTATTAATGGTTCCCCCCCTCACCTGTATTAATGGTTCCCCCCCTCACCTGTATTAATGGTTCCCCCCCTCACCTGTATTAATGGTTCAGCCCCCCTCACCTGTATTAATGGTTCAGCCCCCCTCACCTGTATTAATGGTTCCCCCCCTCACCTGTATTAATGGTTCCCCCCCTCACCTGTATTAATGGTTCACCCCCCCCCTCACCTGTATTAATGGTTCCCCCCCCCTCACCTGTATTAATGGTTCCCCCCCCTCACCTGTATTAATGGTTCACTCCCCCCTCACCTGTATTAATGGTTCCCCCCTCACCTGTAATAATGGTTCCCCCCCTCACCTGTATTAATGGTTCACCCCCCCCTCACCTGTATTAATGGTTCAGTCCAGATCTTGTTGTCCATCTTTAGACTCCGGACCTTGGACAGGTTGCTGCCTAGAGCTCGGTGCTGACCTGGGAACAAATCCCTGTTAGCATTAAAACCAGCTAGCTACATTAGCATCCCACCTGTTGTCCACTTGTGCTAGGTTTACCTGCGCAGGCCTGGCAGATGACAAGCAGCAAGTTGGCCGACGCCCACTCCGGGTTAGTGGCGCCGCAGTCACCGCACACTTTGTTGTTGGGGTTTTCCCAGAGCCGCAGCGCCACCTGGCTGCAGGACAGAGCACTGCGGATAGTGGAGGACAGAATGTCCAACCAGAGGGACAGATCCTTCGTTGAATCAACAGACAGACTGCGGGAGGGGGCGGGGCCACGAGGAGAATGGGTCGGGGCAAGAAAAGACAGTAAAGCACACTTCGGACACACTTCACACACACTTGGGACACTTGGGACACACTTCACACACTTGGTACCTGAAGCTCTTGTACGGAGTGATGAGGCTGAAAGAGTGTTTTCCCGTCGTTTTGACCGAGGCCACGTTCAGGGGCACGGAGAAGGAGGCGATGCCCAGCTGGAAGGCCTCCTTGCTGTGGTAGATCCAGAGGTCGTGACCCCACAGGGCGGCGTAGGCGCGGCTCCGCGTGTCCTTCATGGTGATTGGTCCAAGGAGTTCTGGGGGGGCGGGGCTTGGCTGGCCTCGGGACGCTAACAGAGACGTGACCCAGCCTTCATGGACCTCTGAGAGAGAAACACATGAAGAAGAACCAGAGAGGAGGGGTGTACCCGTCTGTTACAATTACAAATAATACTTTACCTAATCTTTTCTGTCATATACGTTTATATTTTAGCTGTGTTAGCACCGCCTTGTGGTCGTAATGAGCATTACCACATTTACTGATCCAGCCCCTGGTCTCCGTTGTGTTTGAGCATCTGTCGGCCTCCGAATGACAGATGATGACGAGCTGCATCATTTTCAGTTTTAAAAGAGGTCATAAATCACAAATATGATGTTATTGAAATAACCATAAGCCTATAAAGTCACAGTTGTATGATGTTGTGACTAAAGGATTGTGGTATTATCCTTTTTGTCCTTTACTGCAAACCTTTGTCACCTTAACTTCCTGTTTATATTCTATGTCCTGCTCATTTCAAACTTCAGGAACTGATATTATAACCCAGACTTCCCGAGGCGTCGCGATGGAGAAGGTGAGCTCACCGTCGTTGTGAGCCATGAAGTCGTAGTGCTTCTTCCTGAAGTACACGGAGAACCTGCGTTTGTCCTGCTTCTTCACGTTGGTGATGCTGGAGACGTGAAACAGAACCTCGCTGAACCGGTCCTGGTGAACGAAACAAACACAGCTGAACACTGACTGGCTGCAGACAGACAGGTAGAGAGAGACAGGTGGAGACAGAGAGACAGGTGGAGACAGAGAGACAGGTGGAGACAGACAGACAGGTGGAGACAGACAGACAGGTGGAGACAGACAGACAGGTGGATACAGACAGGTGGAGACAGAGAGACAGGTGGAGACAGACAGACAGGTGGATACAGACAGACAGGTGGATACAGAGAGATGGGTGGAGACAGACAGACAGGTGGAGACAGACAGACAGGTGGAGACAGACAGACAGGTGGAGATAGACAGACAGGTGGAGATAGACAGGTGGAGACAGACAGACAGGTGGATACAGAGAGACAGGTGGAGACAGACAGACAGGTGGATACAGACAGATAGGTGGAGACAGACAGACAGGTGGAGACAGACAGACAGGTGGAGACAGACAGACGGAGACAGAGAGATAGGTGGAGACAGAGAGATAGGTGGAGACAGACAGACAGGTGGAGACAGACAGACAGGTGGAGACAGACAGGTAGAGACAGACAGACAGGTGGAGACAGACAGGTGGAGACAGAGAGACAGGTGGATACAGACAGACAGGTGGAGACAGAGAGATAGGTGGAGACAGAGAGACAGGTGTATACAGAGAGACAGGTACTTACGTTGCGTTTTTTCCAAAGAGACATCAGCTGCCCGTCCAGCGTTGCCCACAGAACGCTGTGTCTGTAAGAAAAGAGAAACGATGTGAATCCGCTCATCTGATGAGGTGTTCCTCAGGGATCTTTACTGGGTCTCCTGTCGTTGTTAATGTCAAACGATCTGTCTGCTTCTCAGCTGTTTGATTATCAATCACCTCAATGGATGACCCGTAGCATAGCTGCTGAGCTAACAGTGGGTTGCTGCTCTTGTGATATTTACACATTAAACGGGTCAATCTGCTGAGAAACAATTCTCAAAGATAAGACAAAGAAATGAGCCGAGTGCATTCAGCTGAAGACCTTTATGGCTGGAGCTCAGTCTCTGCTGGACCTTGAGACGGCAGATAGCGATTGGAAGAGTTGCAGCTGCTCAGAGCCTGGAGCCTGCTATAGCCACATGCTAACATGCTAACATTGTCTCGGACACAAAGCATGTCCCATCACAGACTCTATGCATTACATAAATGCACAATGTACACAATATCTGTTATTTTATTACTGCACATCTTTTATTCCATTCTATTTCAATGTAAATAGTTTTCTTTGAATAGTTTTCTGTCTGTGTTTTTAATTGTTGTTTTACTTTTATGTATGCAGCACGACATCATGTCAAATTCCTCGTACGTGTCGACCCACCTGGAGATAAACCTGGTTCTGATCTGATGTCCTGAACAGTGGATATTAATCCTTATCATCAGAAACAGGGACAATCAAATGTAATAAGACTCCCAGATCAGATACAGAGTGATGGGGACGCTGATAGCTCCATCAATAATAATCATAATAATAATACATTTTATTTATAAAGGCGCTTTCAAGGCTCTCAACTAGGTGGCCGTACAAGGTTCACTAAACACTAAACAAAACAGAAGTCCAAAGAACAGCACATTATAACCAATGAAGAAGAGCAGAGGACGTGTGATGTGATCAGGGTGGATATGGTATTAAAGGTGACGGTGTTACCTGAAGCCCTTCCACACATCCAGCCAGCCGGACCTCACCACGGCGCTGTGAGGGGCCGCCCCCCCCACGGCCCCCTTCTTCCTGGACACTCGGATAGTGGCCGTCCTGCAGGACACAACCACACTGAGTGTCAGACGTTCCTCATGAAGAAGCATCTTCAGCAACAACACGTGCAGCATTTAGAGAACAGTCAGCAACTTGAGGAGACATGTGTTTGCAGGATGATTTGCAAACCTTCACAGGTTTATGGGCTGCTGTCCTGCACTGATTGCATGCGACACTGCGTCAGGTCTCTCTTGTGTCGTAACCCTGCTTTCCTGAACTCTTACTTACCGTCAGCAAGAATGAGAAAACTAAATCAGAGAAATGAAAGCTAATGAAATAAATAAATAAAGGACGTTTGTTGTTGTTTGTCTTCCTGAAGGTGCGTTTGCGTACCTCGGCATCTTCTGTCTCTGCGGCTTCTTTAATTGGCTGGGAGGAGGGGGCGGGGCCGGCCGCGTGGGGACCAGACGTCCCGCCTGATTGGACGGGAGGCTGCAGGACAAACAAACACCAGTTAGGATGCAGTGAAGTACTAGAGGTAGTTTTTGTAGTACCGTATAAATACTTGGTGGTTGTTGACGATGTGTTATGAGTAGGATCTCCCTCCATTGGTCCCTCTGCACCAGAGGGGGCGGGGCTTGCTCCTGTATCGTCCTCCTCATTGGACGAGTCGGTGTCGGCTTCCTCTTGGCTCGCCCAACAAGCTAACAGCGTGACGTATGGATTCTCTTCTTTGATGGTGTGAGGAGAGCGTCTGGAGACTGGAACCCAGACAGACGGAGAGGAGTCAGACCCCGAGGACACACACTTTATATAATCCTACTAAACCGTTCATAATCATAACGTCTCATCGGGAGGTGGACGTGTTGGACTATGCATTGAAAAGCTTTGCTCATATGGGAAAAATGGTTGTCTTTTCTTATGTTTAAACTCTTCATATTGAGAATAAGAGTCTTATATGAGACTGAACACACCTTCCTCTGATGGCTCCGTCTCCTGAAGAGACGGTAAAGAGACTCCTGTGTTCGAGTCTAACGTTAACATCACCAGCTGAGACAACGCTCCGACATCTGCACACAAACAGAGGACATGCTCAGCCAATCAGAAGGGAGTATGTCTGAAACACCCAATTCATTCTGTCCTTTCCCCGCTCAGAGACCCAGGTCGTCGCACGCATCTCTGCTTGTCTAGCTGACATCTCTCAGTGGATGTCTGCTCACCACCTCAAGCTCAATCTTGACAAGACTGAGCTGCTCTTCCTTCCGGGAAAAGATTGTCCCACTCTTGACCTAACAATCAACATCGGCACCTCAGTTGTTTCCCCGACTCAGACTGCAAGGAATCTGGGTGTGACCCTAGATAACAACCTGTCCTTCACTGCAAAACATCGCTGCTACAACCCGCTGCTGCAGATACACGCTTTACAACATCAGGAAGATACGTCCCCAGCTGACTCAGAAAGCGACTCAGGTTCTGGTCCAGGCTCTCGTCGTCTCACGCCTAGACTACTGCAACTCCCTCCTGGCTGGTCTACCTGCATGTGCCATCCGACCTCTGCAGCTCACCCAGAATGCAGCGGCTCGTCTGGTCTTCAACCTTCCTAAATGTTCCCACACCACTCCGCTCCTCCGCTCCCTTCACTGGCTTCCGGTAACTGCTAGAATCCACTTCAAGACACTGGTACTTGCTTACCGTGCTGCGAATGGATCTGGCCCTTCGTACATCCAGGACATGGTTAAACCGTACACCCCAGCGTGTGCACTCCGCTCTGCATCAACCAAACGGCTCGCTGCACCCTCGCTGCGAGGGGGACCCAAGTTCCCATCAGCAAAAACACGTGGGTTTGCTGTCCTGGCTCCAAGATGGTGGAATGAGCTCCCCATTGACATCAGGACAGCAGAAAGCTTACACACCTTCCAGACTGAAAACTCATCTCTTTCGACTCCACTTCGAGCGATAGAACTATTAACAAAGCACTTATATGCTAACAAAGGACTGGCTTACCTAAAGCCAGTTGAGTAGCACTTGAAATGTTTGGCTCTATGAAACCTGATGTACTTTATGATTCTGTTTTCTTCAAGGTTGTATTTTGTTGGTCGAACGCACTTATTGTAAGTCGCTTTGGATAAAAGCGTCAGCTAAATGTAATGTAATGTAATGTAACTGATGGGCCAATACAGAGCGGGAGGTATTCCTGTGTTGGACCGTGAAGGCAGCATCTCCCACGTCCAATGGGATTCCTCCATGTGATTTTGGGTTATGTCAGAAAATAATCTCTGAGTCAAACAAACGTTGAGTTCAGCAGGATACTCTCCACATATTAACACCACTTTGTGATTTCTGAAGTAACACGCCGACAGGTATTTACTGACAAAACGTTAAAGTCTCTTCAGCTCGTGTTAACCACAGACCTTATTTCAGGATAACAACCAAAAACACATTCAGAGAACCATTGACCTCCAGACCAGGGGACAGGAAGTGAGGAAATGCTGACTCATGTTATGGTACGGACTCGTTCCAGCAGAACACTTTGAAAAATTAAAAACAAAGGAAATGGAGTAATTTTATTTAAAAAAATCAACTTCTTGCTGTACCTGTGTGAGCGTCTCCGATCCCCGGCAGTGAGGGGGAGGGGGCTGACGGGGTCGTTATGGAGCTAACAGACGGGTTAGCCACATTGCTAACAATCCCCGCTAAACTGGGAATGTTAGCGAACGAGCTAACTATGCTGTCTAAGCTAACAGTGTGACCAGGTGTGGTGAAGGAGGCGGAGTTTAACGTAGCCGCGGGGGGGTTAGCCACAGCGCTAGCAGTTCCCGCTAAGCTAGGTATGTTAGCGGCGATGCTGTTAGCCATGCTGTCTATGGAGGGGGGGGGGGCAGAAGGGGCGGAGGGGGCGGAGCCTCTGAGGGAGGTGGCGAGTCCAGCCAATGAGGGGATGCTGCTGGCGATGATGTCAGTGACGCCGGCCAGAGACGGGAAGACGGAGCTACGATCCAACGCCATGACAGGAGGGGGGGGGGGCAATCTCCACCTGGGGGGGGGGGCAAGGTTCAGAATCAGAGTTCCTTTATTGTTCTGCAGCGAGGACATGTACATTACAGACGTTTAGTGCAGGTAAAGGAAAGAGAATAGACTTACTTATTAAAAACGTTGAAATAACTTTGCAGATTGTAAATACATTGAAAGAAAAGATCGCTAATTAGTACTTTTCCTCGAGACTGTAAGTATAATTATGAGGTTCTTAAGTCTGTAATTTGTTCTAACCACTGAGAATCAGTTTGAATGGAGACCTTTGTTCTGCAGTTTGGAGACAAACTTTATTAGCAGAGACTTATGAGAGGAGCTGACTCCTGAAACACTGAATCAAAACATGTGTGGATATGTGTGTGTGTGTGTGTGTGTGTGTGTGTGGTGTGTGTGTGTGTGTGTGTGTGTGTGTGTGTGTGTGTGTGTGTGTGTGTGTGTGTGTGTGTGTGTGTGCAGCATCATGTGCTCCAGAGGATAAACTGGTTCCAGATCATCTGTAGACGTTCTTGTGGAACAGGTTCAACGCATCAGCAGGACGTCAGTGTGTGTGTGTGTGTGTGTGTGTGTGTGTGTGTGTGGTGTGTGTGTGGTGTGTGTGTGGTGGTGTGTGTGTGTGTGTACCTGATTGTAGATTTGCGATATCATCTCTGAAAAAACAAAGTTGGTGTTGAAATCCAAACATCTACTTTCACTGAGTTCAGATGTATTGATTTATTGTGAGAGAACATTAGTATTATCCCCCTCCAGCTCCTCAGGTAACGAGCACAGACTCAGGTAACGAGCACAGACTCAGGGAACGAGCACAGACTCAGGTACGAGCAGAGACTCAGGTAACGAGCACAGACTCAGGTAACGAGCACAGACTCAGGTAACGAGCACAGACTCAGGTACGAGCACAGACTCAGGGAACGAGCAGAGACTTAGGTAACGAGCACAGACTCAGGTAACGAGCACAGACTCAGGTAACGAGCAGAGACTCTGGTAACGAGCACAGACTCAGGTAACGAGCAGAGACTTAGGTAACGAGCACAGACTCAGGTAACGAGCACAGACTCAGGTAACGAGCAGAGACTTAGGTAACGAGCAGAGACTTAGGTAACGAGCACAGACTCAGGTAACGAGCACAGACTCAGGTAACGAGCAGAGACTCAGGTAACGAGCACAGACTCAGGTAACGAGCAGAGACTCAGGTAACGAGCACAGACTCAGGTAACGAGCACAGACTCAGGTAACGAGCAGAGACTCAGGTAACGAGCACAGACTCAGGTAACGAGCAGAGACTCAGGTAACGAGCACAGACTCAGGTAACCACAGACCTAAAGGTGCGCTCACCTGTCCAGAGACGTCAAACTGTCCCTCATGTAACGAGCCCGGGGCTTCGGGACCGGAGGAGGAGGAGGAGGGTTCATCTGTGGTAATATAGAGAGACACACATGCATTGAAGACAATAAATAACTAGTAATATTAAGGGAAGATCAACGTTTGTGTTAAAATAATGACACAAATGTGTTTGGTTAACAAAATAGGATTTTCTGTTTTGACTAACGGAGCAAATTAAATCCACGTTAGTGTTAAAATAACGACTAAAGTCATGTGACCAAATAGTCAACGTCTACGTAAACAACACATTAAATAAGTTACCTGAAGAAGAGGCAGTTTGCGTTAGATACAGAACATCAGGTACGGAAGCTACACACTGGGACGACAATGTGAAATGAAACACATGAATTAGTTTGCAAATCGTGTATAACTATAAAACAAATCAGCATTTAGGTCAAAACTGAAAAGGTTTACAAAATGAGTCAACGTTGGTTTAAAAAATATTTACGTTACCTACGTACGAAAGTCAGGTGAAAAGTAAAATAACGACTGAAGAGTCAGAACTTAAATTGCGGGATGAATTATTCAACATCCGGGTTAGAATCTTTACGAATGTCTTTTCTAGGTATGATTATAAATAAAAAAGCGTTTGTGAAATACTGAAGTCACGTGACGAACATAACTTACGTACGTTTCCAAAAGGTTCCCACGAACGTCACGGGACACATAAGTGAAAATGTGTGTTAAATAACTAAAGAATGGGTTTAGTTAATAAGTTACCTGCAGATAGCACAGGTAAACTTTGTGACCGTGACCTTTGACCCCTGACGATCGCACTTCACTGCCTTTACTCCTATTTATTTGACTTCATTATTGATTTCCTCACCTGATGCAAAGGGGCCTTTACATGC